CAAAGCATGTAACTGCACAGCGCTACATACGCCAGTGTTGGGGCTTGCTACGTCACGCGCGGGCGGGGCTAGAGATCGTGAAATCCTGGCTCTAGTATAATACTTATCGATAGAGGTAAAGAATATATCGATAAAACTACAATGAGGTCTTACTGTTTTGTGATGTTCCCGTTGTCTTTTCTGTCCAGGAAGTGTGGGGTCGTCCCCGACTGCGCCACAGTCATAGAAAGATGCGATGCTCCAAGTGTCCGCCAGGTTGGGGCGTGTCCCAGCGGTGCACGGAGCAGACCGACACGGAGTGCAGTCCTTGTGGCGGAGGGACTTATTCGCCGCATCATTCTTACCACACGCCATGTTGGGTCTGCTCGCGCTGTGGCCCGGGGCTCTTTGAAGCCCACCCCTGTCAACCCGCGGGCGACACCATCTGTGATGACTGCCACCGAAGTGGCATCTCTCCCAACACGGATTTCTTGTCCAAATGCCGCCACAACGTGACAGAACGATTTCTCATTCGTGGCAGGCAAAGAGATCTGGATGCACGGTGAAACAGAAATTGCAATTAAATGATCAAGAACATGGAGAATGTGAGGACCTCAAATTCTTTCTACAGACCTACAGTGTGCGTAGCTACTAGGTGACTCAAGAAGCAACGCGAGGCTGATACCAGACTGTGAACTTAAAACCATCAGCTTCACTATTCGAATCTCAAATTTCTAATTATTCCCTTAGCTTTCACGTATGATGTCTTAAGACATGTTCGGGTTCAGATAAACGCTGATACATAAGCATGTAAGCTGGATTCGAACCAGCGGTCCCAATGTTAACGCGGTACTTTTGTAATCCACGCCTATTTTTAAATAATACTAGGCCTATGTAATGAAGAGATGGCACTGTTTTCCAGGACAGCAAACCTCACGCCTTGGTAGACCCATCTATAGGACAACATATATTGAAACTTCGAATTGGACATTTCTCATATTACTCAATGTAGTGTCATTACTTTATAGTACATCACTAATTCAGTTATCATAAGTAGCAATAGGATACCAGTAATCTAAACAGAATAATTATCATATATTTTTATTCTGCATGTCCAGGTTTGTGAAATTTAAGTTCAAAGTTGGGTGGAAATCGTGACCACAATTCAGAAGAGAATCCGCTATTTTGTAAATAACTTAACAACGTTTAAAACGTTGTACTGAGTATCGAAATAATTGTTAAAAAAGTAATGCATTCATTCTAGATGCAGCAGGTTTTATAGAAAGCTGTCTACTGTTTCTTATATGATCTCATAAGATTATGTTGTTTACAATTTGCATTAAAAACTGGAGTCGTCACAAAATGAATTATTTCCAGAACGTGAAATCCTCAAGATATTTTCACCTTCCAGGCACTAAAACCTAAGCCTCGAGTTTAACCCTGATGAAAAAGACGACAGTTCCTCCGGAATGTTAGTAATAACAATACCCGGCGCCACAATATAGAAGACACAATCGACCAACTGTTCGTATTAAGTTCCTAATATGGATAATATTTAATAGTATTTAAAACTATTCTGCATTTATATTCATTGGCTTTACCAATAAGTTCACTGCGAAATAACCAACTCCATGAAGCTGAGTCATTCCTCAGAAGCTAATTTCCATTAATTTCCGCCTTTTATGGAACCCCACACACTCATATTTATTTAAAAACTGTATTTATAGTATTCTCCAATCTATGCCTAGGTCTCCCACAGTTTATTCTGTATGCGATTTCATTTCTCCCATGCATGCTACATGTTCCGCCCAGCTTATTTTCCCAGAAAGGTATAGCACAGCTAACAGCAAATCTATTTTATCCGCGGCAACGTATTTTGCTTATTTTCGTAAGATATTAGAAACAAAAATGAATTTCAATCACAAAACAGGCTCTCTTAAGTATATCGTGGTTTCCCTCAGTCTCGCGTTCAGTTGAAATCTCCATCGTGCAAATCTACTGAAATTCCGTACTTTTTTTCCAAAATATCTGAGCAATTTAATAGTTACTACCACACTGTATGTTCTTACTCGACGGTATACATTGTTTAAATGAATGAGTCAGCGCTGTTACATAAACAAACACTTTTGTTAATATAATCCGACATTAAATAATCTTTCCTCAAACAAAGCTTACCTGAGTAGTGTGCCAATAGACACGCGCAGTCCTCATACATTACGATATGACTAGACTACTCTCCTAATCCTTTAAGTAATGTTAGATTATCTCACGTTCTTCAGCAAAAGAGGACAACGTCCATTATGACAGCGATTCCTAGTTCAAGAACAATCTTCTACTACTTATTGGCATTTGGCAAAGTTATGAACGTGTAGATTTTACCAGAAAGAGAGAATGGTTGTATTACGTAACGTTTCAAAGGCAGCGATTTAGAACTTTCTGCAAAATCCAAAGCGTATGACCGTTAAGAACTAAAACACAGAAGGCTGTGTAAATTCTTCCTTCCTTGAAGTTAATGTTGCGTAAACTGGAATAAATGTTTACTTCTGTGTGACCTTGTCACTGTGTAAACTTAAAAACATTCGCCTTCTTAGAAGACAGAAGAAAAATACATCCTCAGTACGGATAGCTTCAACCAGCTTATCGGCAATAAATATAGTCAGTCCACTTTCAGGTTAAGAATTAATTGTTAAATTTACTGCAAATGCCAAGCAGCTATCGTAATTAAATACTTTAAACAATTAAAAAAAACTGTCTATTAAAAGACCTAAATAGGCTGTGTGTCGAATACAACCTCAGAAGTCACTCTGTGTCATTGAAAAGTAATGTTAGCAGGAAACAAGAAAAGTTACTTCATCTACCAAGGCTATTTCCGTCAACATACGCAATGGAAAACGAAATAACTGCGTCTCATGTGCAGTATAAAAGACAGGGAAATGAATGAGTCGTCTAAACAATTGTAAATCCAGCTTCAATAGCCTTTAGTCCTCAAGGATATTCCACAATCAAAGTTAACGGTAAATAATGTCAGACATGAATACATTACATAAAACCATTAACAAATTCCCCAGGACAACCCTAAAGTTTAAATTCAATAAAAGACAAAGTAGAATCCGTACTGTACGTATTAAAACATTTTTTCACAGTGTTAACATCTGCCTACATAATTAAACACGAAAACACTGAAAATCATCTAACCCTTCAAGAGAAAGTTGAACAAAACTGCATAATGAGGAGCTTTATGATTTCTACCAAATATCATTACTTTAAAATTATTTTTATATACACGCAGGAAAAGTAAATTGCTTGGATTGGTCAGCTCAAGTAGTCAAAGGCCAACAATATATCGATATTAAACTACAAAATAAGCCAAGCTTTAACACACCATAGGAAACAACACAGGAGTTTACCAAAATTCAGAGGTCCTTGCTGCCTCCATCATCAGGGTAAGTAATACCCCCTCTCTCGACCAACTGTTCGTATTAAGTTCCTATTATGGGTAATATTTAATAGCATTTAAAACTATTCTGTATTTATATTCATCGGCTTTACCAATAAGTTCACTGCGAAATAACCAACTCCATGAAGCTGAGTCATTCCTCAGAAGCTAATTTCCATTAATTTCCGCCTTTTATGGAACCCCACACACTCATATTTATTTAAAAACTGTATTTATAGTATTCTCCAATCTATGCCTAGGTCTCCCACAGTTTATTCTGTATGCGATTTCATTTCTCCCATGCATGCTACATGTTCCGCCCAGCTTATTTTCCCAGAAAGGTATAGCACAGCTAACAGCAAATCTATTTTATCCGCGGCAACGTATTTTGCTTATTTTCGTAAGATATTAGAAACAAAAATGAATTTCAATCACAAAACAGGCTCTCTTAAGTATATCGTGGTTTCCCTCAGTCTCGCGTTCAGTTGAAATCTCCATCGTGCAAATCTACTGAAATTCCGTACTTTTTTTCCAAAATATCTGAGCAATTTAATAGTTACTACCACACTGTATGTTCTTACTCGACGGTATACATTGTTTAAATGAATGAGTCAGCGCTGTTACATAAACAAACACTTTTGTTAATATAATCCGACATTAAATAATCTTTCCTCAAACAAAGCTTACCTGAGTAGTGTGCCAATAGACACGCGCAGTCCTCATACATTACGATATGACTAGACTACTCTCCTAATCCTTTAAGTAATGTTAGATTATCTCACGTTCTTCAGCAAAAGAGGACAACGTCCATTATGACAGCGATTCCTAGTTCAAGAACAATCTTCTACTACTTATTGGCATTTGGCAAAGTTATGAACGTGTAGATTTTACCAGAAAGAGAGAATGGTTGTATTACGTAACGTTTCAAAGGCAGCGATTTAGAACTTTCTGCAAAATCCAAAGCGTATGACCGTTAAGAACTAAAACACAGAAGGCTGTGTAAATTCTTCCTTCCTTGAAGTTAATGTTGCGTAAACTGGAATAAATGTTTACTTCTGTGTGACCTTGTCACTGTGTAAACTTAAAAACATTCGCCTTCTTAGAAGACAGAAGAAAAATACATCCTCAGTACGGATAGCTTCAACCAGCTTATCGGCAATAAATATAGTCAGTCCACTTTCAGGTTAAGAATTAATTGTTAAATTTACTGCAAATGCCAAGCAGCTATCGTAATTAAATACTTTAAACAATTAAAAAAAACTGTCTATTAAAAGACCTAAATAGGCTGTGTGTCGAATACAACCTCAGAAGTCACTCTGTGTCATTGAAAAGTAATGTTAGCAGGAAACAAGAAAAGTTACTTCATCTACCAAGGCTATTTCCGTCAACATACGCAATGGAAAACGAAATAACTGCGTCTCATGTGCAGTATAAAAGACAGGGAAACGAATGAGTCGTCTAAACAATTGTAAATCCAGCTTCAATAGCCTTTAGTCCTCAAGGATATTCCACAATCAAAGTTAACGGTAAATAATGTCAGACATGAATACATTACATAAAACCATTAACAAATTCCCCAGGACAACCCTAAAGTTTAAATTCAATAAAAGACAAAGTAGAATCCGTACTGTACGTATTAAAACATTTTTTCACAGTGTTAACATCTGCCTACATAATTAAACACGAAAACACTGAAAATCATCTAACCCTTCAAGAGAAAGTTGAACAAAACTGCATAATGAGGAGCTTTATGATTTCTACCAAATATCATTACTTTAAAATTATTTTTATATACACGCAGGAAAAGTAAATTGCTTGGATTGGTCAGCTCAAGTAGTCAAAGGCCAACAATATATCGATATTAAACTACAAAATAAGCCAAGCTTTAACACACCATAGGAAACAACACAGGAGTTTACCAAAATTCAGAGGTCCTTGCTGCCTCCATCATCAGGGTAAGTAATACCCCCTCTCACTGCTATAATACTGGAGGCAACAAGGACATCTGAAACGCGAGTAAACATCCACCAGACACACGGCGCTCCAATCCGGAAGACAGCCGTCATCACATACTCATTTCCGTGAGAAGTTCCTACTGAGATTGGCTGAGACGTTCATGAAGGAAAATATTTGGAGCTAAGAAAATTATGGTAACAGCAGTACGGAGAAAATTTGTGCAGCTACACAGTTTTAAAATAACATGAGCCTGCATCTTTCACTCGCACTACAAGCAATGGCAGGTAAAATGTATAAAGTAGCTTAAGTCCAAGGATAAAGAATTCGGCAGAGGCACGCCCAACTTAAGCCAGTCTCACTTAACCTATTTACTATCTCACGGAGATGGCAAATTTATTCTTGTACACACGTTTCAGTTCTCTTGCTCAGTAGAAAGGTATGATATGTGGAATAACAACATTAAATTTCTCATACTTGAGCTTCAACAGGAAACAAAACAAAAAACTTACTTCTTGTAAAAGAAAACTGTTAGAATAATGGCAAGTACTACTAGGAGAATCTCAAGCAGGGAACTATATAAGAAATTTAATATTCTTCCACTAAGCAGTGAATTCTTTCTCTCACTTTTGTCATTTGCTCCAGACAACATAGAAAAATTTCAAGCAAACTCAAATATCCAAAGTGTAAGTACAAGATAACCTCATGAAGGTTATATACGATAACCTTCATGAGGTATATTTAATATGCAAATATTATATTATTCACCAGAACTGACTAGTGAATACCAAAGTCTGAAGCTTAACCTCAATTAAATTTGAAATACCATTCTTTATAAGAAAGTATTATAGTTGTAATTTAATCCAGATTGCAATGTCTTCTAAAAGAGAAACTTGAAGTTGTGCCCTACTTAATAAAGTAATCACATGATTAGGTAAATTACAATATGCACCTACCATTGCATCACTAATTAAGCCAGGAAATCAAGAAACTCCTTTTACCACTTCAGACCTTACCTAGTTACAAACATTATGATCAAAGCAGTTTCATACTGGCCACCAGACTGCACTGCTATTTTGCTATTTTTCAGTTTCGGATAACTGTCAACAGATGTCTGTGATGGGATGGACTTGATGATATCTGAGAATCGAGTTCAAATCTGGAACACTGCCATAAACATGTCGGTTTCTTACGAAACAAAACATACGGCACTATAAATTCTTATCTGTGATTACATAAACAGTATTTATACAATCAATGCATAATCAGTGGAATATAATTTCCGGTTATCTATTAGGTTGAACGGAAAGTTTTTTTGCGTTTTCTAACCAAACAAAACCATAAATTCAGAAGTTTAATGTCAACAATTGGACCGAGTAAACTAATGCCGTAAAGAAAAACGTCTACATCTCGTCAACAGAAAAGAAATTCTTTCACCTTTACAACGCCCGTCCCCATGTCAGTTCAGTGACACAGCAAAAATAAAGGAACTGAATTGGGAAATTTATGACCACCCGTTACATTCAGTGGACTAATCTGTGTATTTTTTTATAGTCTTAGTAAGTATTAATAGACTACCAAATTCCATTTCCACAATTTGTATATTCGATTTTCTGTAACTACCTTCATAGATACATTTACTACAAACAAAACTTCAAATATACAAGATTTATATTTATATTCAGTATTTATAAAACATTTTTGCTGTGAGAGTAGTGCCAATTTTATGAAGAAAACAGTACAGTTCATATCATGGTGTAAACATTTGTTATGTGTTATAATGGGAGCTGTAGCCAAAAGAATTATAAGAAAGTTGCAATTGAGAACATGACATTGAATATTTTTGTGATGAATTCATTCAGGAACAAGACCGACCATTCTAAGTAACAAAATACTACTGCCACATAAAAACATACGCTAAATACTGCAATACATTTTTATCATTCAACTGAATACATGCTCCACATTTTAAAAAATAAAATTTCTCACAACAGCCATATACACATTCATGAGAGCAATCTTCCGAATGATGTGGTGTGTAGTCTGGTAGCTATGACATGTTTCAGAGCTAACTCCCATAATCATCAAGGTGTTATGGAAGTAGTGAACTCTGAAACATCACTCAATATCTACCAAACTACATAGCACAACATCCCAGAAGATGGCGACTTCATACTTGCGGTGAGAAGGTGAAATCTCACGTTCACACTTATTCTTTAGTTCTCAATTTACATATATATATCTATTAGGGTATTACACTTCCTGCTCTCTTCCTATGAACAAGAGAGCTGAGGTCTTTGGTTGCTCAGGCAACACTAATAACCATATTTGCTATTAGTATGGCTAGAAGATACCGACTCCCTTATTCAACCATATGACTTACTACTCACAGTACACAGAATGCAGTAAACATATATCCCACTGTAGCTACGGAAGATGATTTTAAACATTTGTCACACTTTTTAGTTGATCCTTTTTGGTGCTCACATAAACCATCTTGGAATATTAGCAGAATTAATTTCTTATAATAATTCACCATCCATGGTATTTGTAAAATACTGGCTGGGTTGGATTCTGTTTTTCCAATTGAAAGCACAGATCAATGTGTGAGAGTAGAAATTAATGTCATATTGCTGCAAGCAACAATATTAAATGGTACAAGGATTTACAGTAAAATATGTTTGCTCTGTAGGACTTCCATTTTATTTCAGTTTCATAAATTAATGTAAAGTAAATTTAGCACTTTAAAAACACAATTTCATATTAATTTTTTAATCCAATAACAAAGAAAGTCACTACTCTCATGATGGAAATAATGCGGTTCAAAACCACATCAGTATGCCCAGCATTTTAAATTAATATAATCAAACACTTGCTCACCTCCATTCATTGATCTACAAGTAATAAGCAGGTTATATAGAAGGCAGCAAACAATGTCAGATACCTCAAATATGAATTTCAAATTTACCATTTCAGAAAGTTCACTTTAAGTAAACTAAAAAGGCAATAAAATTTCAACCCAAAACAGAGTATTCCCAAATATTTACATTTTGATATAAAATACGGTAACTTATCTTGCATTTATTTTTATTTACTTCAGGATAGTACTGATAACAACTTTGTCAAAATTATAATTATGTAAATGATATTTAATTCTGCCAAAGAAACAACTGAATTATAATAAAATATAAAATTGTAGTGTTGATATTAATCCTTTCACCATGATGCCCTGGACATCCCAGATCAGTACAGACTAGCACACTGCTTTGCCCACGAGTTTTACACAATTTTTAAATTTTTTTATGAGATGAATTAAGGTAAATTATACATACTTTTGCAAGTATCTGTATGTTTTTTCCAAAACAGTCAGTGAGAAAAGAAATAATCAGTAGTCAAAGGGTTTAGAGCTAATTTGTTAGAGTTAATCACCACAAATAATGAAACATAATTAACACCTCCCCATGTTCTTACATCGTAATGAAGAAACATAATGTGCCAGTCTGTCCTGAATGACCACTACTTTGTCTTGTTTAACTGGTTAAAAATAAGGAAAAGAAATGAAAGCTGGAATATGTGATCAGGTACATTCATATTCTAAGAAGAAGGTTATCTGATTAATAGTCTGATTCAATGGGAACTGAGACAAATTATTAAAAAGAAAGAAAAGTTTGCATTCTCATTGTTAGACTAAGTCTACCATATCATTACGCAATGGTATATTATGTGTTGTTTGTGTGTAAATCTGTTACATGTCATCAGATACCATAAATACGGATGCTATTATACAACTGCACGTTGAAGCTACAAGCTGCAGGGAGCCACAGAAAATAGAAGCGTCACCAACGAAGACATTTTAAGCACCAGTTCACTGCACTGAAATGATATTCATACACAAAACACTTCTTTAATTCATACTTTCCACATATTCAAAATGCGGGCGACATAGACATTAAGAAACAACACTGACCAAAGAAACTGTGTTGCCAATATATCTTGGGTCAAAATATGTGTACCCTAGTTTGAGACAAAGGAGAAGTGTGAAAAACATCCATTCTAGAGGGGAAATTATCATCACAACAGTGACATACTAACAAGATGAAATAAGAAATTGGATGCTGACATCCTTTTACCAACCCACCAAAATTGCTGATAATGTTATGGTAAAATGTAATACTGCTGCCCAATGCACAAAATGCAATTCAGGGTCATTATATTATTGTCTCTATCACATCCTTATCCAGCATTGAGTTATATTTAGAAGCTACAACTATAATTATCTCAAGAAAGAATGTGATTTGCTGCTTAATATCACAAAGGAACTGCAAGTAACATGTACATTCAGAGTTATTTGTGGTGACTGCAGACTCTTCATATTAACAAATTAAAAAAATAAGAAAAAACATACTCAGTGTAGTATATAGGTATGGCTTTCAACTCTCTTGAATTTGATAATGATTGCTTATAAGATAAAACGTCACACAAAATGAAATAATCTTCAAATTTAATTTTCATATCTACACAAATTAAATTCCCCCAAAATTTGAGATTCTTCTGTCATCAAAAAATGTACCATCCCAAATAAATTACCTCCATTCATAAATGATCTATAAACAAATTATCACATTTCATCACACATTATACTGAATGATATACACTCATGCCAATACAAAACAATTAATGCATCAAGATGTACTCTTAAATTACCTAATTACTTTCATAACAGAAATATTCCCTTCTTAAATGACCAAGGAATTACTGCTTCAAAGGTGTTACTTCCTGTTAAGAGTTATGATCACAATACAAAATTGCATAATACAGAAAATTTTATCACGGTAGAGAATTAAACTATTTCACATGCAAACACTGGAATCCTGAAACAGTTGACAATGTAACACATTAACAGCCTTGCTGAGAAAAAATAATTCCAAAAAGTGTCTACTAAAATACTGAAAAATTTGAGCAAAATTGTAAATCATAAAATAAATTTGGTCAAGCAATATGGTACACACTTTCCTTCAACAGAACTGTAACATCAAAATAAATATGCCACATCAAGTGTTAACCTTATAATAGTGAAAGTAAGCACATCCTTAATGATATTTAAAATCCACAGCTGTAGCTGTATAACTAAATTGTACGTATCAAAGAAATTTGACTTTCTTCTAAGCAACTGAAGAGAATAACAATAATATTACTGGAAGTGGGAGATGGGGGGGCTTGAAGAAAATCGACTGAATTACATAAAAACAGATTAATTGAAATTACTGTACCCATATCCACTCAATTATATAACCCACATGGGAACTTTCAAATTCTTTCAATGGTTTTTCATAAAATATCCATTACTTTAATAAGCAAATACAATTTTATTTTTGCAGCCGAGGGAAGCAGTGCTGCCATAAGACAATTACTTACTATTCCATCTCCATTTCATGGTTTACATACTTTCATACAATGTGATTCACTGTACCAGCAGCAATGAATTTTTCAAATGTAATTACTTAGTCAAATATAGCCCAAAATTCAACAGCTATTTATTAGGGTAAATGGGGGACATGGAGAAAAGAGAAAGGGGAGAGGTAAAAGTAAAACAAAACAAAAATATTCATTTTGCTATATCCAAATATTGATATGTAAATATGTACAACACATCCCCTAATTCTTTTATGAAATTATTCAGGAAAAAAGGAAACTAAATACATAAGTGATGCACACTGTTACTGCTGCTACCAAATCCTGTACAAATTTGTTTTAGCTTTCTAAAGCTGCTTATATATACCCTGCTGAGTCAATTACCATAATTAACTTGACTGGATGACATACACATTAAGACACCATCTGTTTTAATTTTACCATGACTGCAGAGCTAAACCTCTTTCATAAAGAATCTACATAAAACAAAAAGTTAATCTAAGACACAACTTATTGTCAAATAAAAAAAATTATTATATATACCATACAAGTCTTATGTTTTAATGATATTTGTGAAAAAATGTGTGTATCATTTGTTATTACGAGGAGGAACTGCCCAATTACTATGGCATGGCATTTTCCATAATGCAGACTACATGAAGTTCACACATTTGTCCAGTAAAATTTTGAATGTTAGTTCATAGTGAAATATTGCTTGTTTTCCTGATGTAGGAATAGCCTCCAAAAAGTAGAGCAAGCAACTTAATCAACTGAACAAACATGAACAAATCCAGTCTGTCATAATTCCCAGTCTATGATGAAACACACATCATCTCATTATAAACGAATGAGCAGCCACTATTATCTGTTTCAACATTTTTAAATAGAACTATTAATATCATATATGTATTCGACATGGCATGCCACAATGGCGATGCCAAAGCTTTATCTCTCTTTTATACACCCAAGCCATTTGGGTATACGAGGATAACCCAAGAAAGGTTTATATTGGGAATAGAAAGGGAAAAGTTACACACAATTTACAACAATATGCGTCATCGATTCATCCATCAAAGGGACAAAGTCTATCATGCAGACTAGAACTGGTCTGCCAAGAGTTCACAAACTTCTTGTGACACACTTTCTTTGCTTGATCGAACTGTCAGTCTGTACATCTGTAAAATGGTTAAAAGACAGATATTAAGATATAACGAATCAACAATGTTCCAAACGATACCCACTATAACCAAAAATTTTAAAGTTATGTTCTGCAGCAACAAAAATATGAATGTTCCTTTCATTTATTGTAAACAGAAGGAAGGATAATATTACACACATAACTAAAACCATTCGTTTGTCATTTGAACAGAAACTGCAACGTTATTACCGCACTTCTGTATAAATAAATATTTTGAAAAAGTAACATGTTTGGGTGCAACAGCATACTGGTATACAGAATTTAGCAACTACCAAGCAAACCTTGCAGTGACAGGCTACACACATACCTGGGCCTGCTTGTTAGGTTCCAGTCGCAGAAGGCAGCCCACTGCCTGAGTTCGTGTGTGAATGATACCGGCACACACAAAGTTGTCTGGGTTTGGATCAATACCATCCAATAACTGCATACCAAATCCCAGAAGCTTAGTGCGAACCGCATTAAGATCCATAGGTTGTGAGGCTTTGAAAATTTTCTGGGAACGTTGCTGATTCCTGGATAAATAATGTTCACAAAAAAGTTAAATGAAACGACGACTGGAGCCCATACACATGTAAGACAATAATACACAGTTTTATAAACTCTGTGAGGCAGTCTTTCTTGATAATCTATAGTTGCACAGCTAATCAACAAATGATCCACCATTTGTGGAACCCATAAAAAATATTGTGTTCACAAGAGCCACCACTGATCCCTATCCCGTGTCAGATGAATGCAGACCACCTTGCATTTTTATTATTCACCATCATCCAAAACTTAACCTGTTACATAACTTAAAGTCTCTCCACCTTTGGTTACAATCATATGGAGCCTTCATTAAAATAAATATGAGGCTATTAACTTCTATCCATGCATAGATCAGAAATTCTAAGTAAAATGAAATTTCCACATGTCAAAACATGCATATTTTTTAAGAAACTGATTAATATTTTGAGCATCTGGGCACAAATTTTGGGAACACAAATACACCAAAATGTGAATTTTTTAAAGAAACTGTGATGATGTATTCATATCTGTAAATTTATTATAATGAAGCACGCACACACGCACACACATGATCTCTATATTTAACCAGCCAACATGGTAAATTATAATGCATATATACTCACCCTCCCAAATTCTTCCACCGTGCAAAAAATGATTCTCCATTCATTTCAGTTGGTTCAAAGAACTTGTTAATTGTAAGAGGCAGTTTGATAGTTAACTTCTGGGGTACATTATTATATATAAATGTTATGATCATACTGGGAGCATCTGAAAAGGTGATACATTTAATGAAATTACATTCAGGAAACAACAGTGGTGCATGTTTTTGAACTGACTGTCATCAGCACAAAATAAGACTTTTTCTCAGAGACCTCCAACTAGAATCTTCCTCTGAGGTATGATAACCAATCATAAAGCACCAGCCAGAATTCCTGACAGAGCACAACATTCAACAGGTTCCCCATACATTTTATTTCCCAGACTTGATGCTTTACGACACTTTTTGTCCCCCAAACTTAAAATAAATTCCAAGACCTGCCAGAGAACTCAAACTTCATTTTAAAAATACAGAGAAAGAATACCGTAAGTCCTGTAACATATATAACCACCAATGGAATCAACATATTCAATCAAGAAATTACTTTGAAATCTGATTAACAGTTATGACTTAGTTTTTCAATACAAAATATAATTTAAGGAATTTCATTATCTAACTAAACCTAACCTAACCCAACCTTCCCTTGTGACACACTGGTGTCTACTCACCAATGAAGTCCTCAACGCACTCTGCATTGACCAACTGCTGTATCTGAGCCCCTGCTTCTAGAACAGGCTCCACAGGTTTCACTTGAATATTCATCTTAGATGACAGATCATCTGGGCAAGATATATTTGGCAGGAAATTCTACAAGAAAGGTAAGTGTCAATGCAAGCTGACTGAAGTTAACAGCCTTGGAATAACCGCAGAAATACTTTAACACTGTGGGAGCAATCATTTACATACTTCTAAATCATATAATTTACCAAAGGCTATTATCCGTCAAAGTGCAAAGGATCCATCACTTTGTTTAATTTTAACACATGTCATGCCAACAGCTGCTAATATAGACACATCTCAAATGTATAAGTTAGTTGTAATAAGCCAATTGCCAACATCTGCTGAAAATTTGTTCTTTTGTGAAAGAAATGACTGGCGAGTTTAATGTTTGTCCGACTGATTAACCGAGCCAACATCTATTGTAAAATGTGCAAGAGTATACACATTTAAGTCTAACTGGAACCACGATCAACTAACTTCTTGTCATACGAGCAGCAAATCTTAACAAAACAGACTTCATACTGTTTAGTAAAATTTGAGATTCTTAAGGTGGTAAGTATGAAGATGGCTGCTTTCTGGGTTGTAGCACCACTTAGCCTGGTATAAGTTTACCAATGTTTCAGAGGTCCTTGCTGCCTCCACCAGGGTGATGAGAAAATCATTCGTGTGGAATCGGTTTGAGATATAAGAACCAATGATTCAAGCGACAGTCTTGGCTGGACCAGTCGGGAGACGGGTCAGGATCAGGTGAGGGCCTGGGAGTCAATCAGAGTGGGGGGGAAGCCACAGCTTGGCAGTGGCTTACTCATAGCCCTGATTATGGATGCAGGAAGGACCTCTGAAACATTGGTAAACTTCTACTAGACTACATGGCACTACAACCCAGAAGACAGCCATCTTCATATCGTACCTGACTCCAGTGAATGTGTTTCTTGTAATTTACCTGTAATGCAAAAGATGTTTTATTACCATAGAAGAGCCCAAGCCTTCCCAAATTTTGCCGGAACTCCGATTTCACACCTATCTGAATAAGATCATTTTCAAAAAGGACTCCATTATTTTTACAGACAAACCTGAAAGAAAAGCAGAAATATAAATGAATCCTTGCTGTCTATTACACTGCAAAATACAGGTTATAAATTCTTTGTCAATGAAGCATATTTTTTAATACCGTAAAATTATATTAGCATGTTCCTTTTTCAAAGAAGTTTTCATTACAAGGTAATGTAGGTTAATGACATTTTTATTATTACTTCCATAAAGAAGTACTAATGGACATCTACGATATTAACTAACACTCTGTGTATTAAAAAACTGATTGTCTTCTAATAAGATACAGTATGGCCAACAGATCTAAACTCCTGGAAAGTATAAAAGCTATGAGTGAAGACTCCACTTCCACCCCCTGCTTTTGGGTAAAATTTTTCCCAAAAAGCAAGAGGGAAAAAAATTAAAGGTACTGTACATGAAGACAAACATGTTTTTGCATGCAGAAATAACTGAGCATCGAGATCCAACCAGAAAGGTGCCTGAAAAACCATATGGGACAAACATTGTTATGATGTCATCACCCAGACAGACAAGCACAAAATATATCATCCATGAAAAAGTCAATAATCTCAATACTTCTAACAGCACTGCTACCATTTGCAAAGGTCATTCTGTTCTGATAGAACAAACGACCTTCAGTAACTATACAGGTTACTTATAAAACAGCATTCACAAACAGAAAATCTTGAGACAATAACATATTAAATGCACCAAAATTGTTATGTTACATACATTTCCTAACTAGCTGGAACTGAATTATAATGAATCATTTCATTTTTCTGAGCAAAATCTAAGAAAAATTAAAAATATATATGACTACCTACTTCTTTGCATTATATGTACTTTGTGCAGGGGCTAGGTTGTTTATATTGTTCGCAGTATTTTGTGAACCGCTATAGATATCTCCGAACATGTCTAACAGGACACCAGTGTTGCTAGGAGCTGCTGGTTGTGATGCTGGCGGCGTTGATAAACCCAGCAGATCTGTTGATACATTGTTTACTGTTGGAGCCTGGAAGTCAGAAAACACCAGACATTTTCCAAGAATTACTTTATGACTACCAAAGTAAATGGAATGTAAAAACCAACAAAACGACAAAAGGTGGATTAATGTAAGAACAATCAGAAACTGTTTTATGCAGTCACTACCTGTGTTGGAGGCTGGTCAGTTTGGTGATTGGTGGTCGGAGCAGGACTCTTTCCTTCACGAATTTCATTTTCTGGTACCCTGCCTGGCTTCTTCTTCTTTAGAACAGCTAAGATGGATGATTCACGCTCAGGGAATGCTGGCATCTCTTCCAACACTGTAGCCTACATAATAAGGGAAATAAAATAGAAGTTACTTGTTTAATATAAACATTCTGGGTGTGATAATATCCTTTATCCACAAACCATAACATTTCAATGTTCAACTTTCATTCCAAGACCAATACTTTCCAGAAATTTCTACCATCAACACTTGTAACCACAACTCAAGGGTCAAAGTTGGACTAGACAGGCACATAATTTCAAACCATGTCGAGAAATTTTGCAAGACGGGATCAGTTTTTGGACACGGCTTCAACAGCAAGGCTAAAACCAGTATTCACACTGTCATATAAATGGCTTGGGATTCTGATATGAATGGTATCCGAAGATCCTTAGGCCTCATCAATCAGGTGAAATAAAGCATTAAATGTGGAAGGTATATTTTGAGCCATCCTATACGATTGCCTGGCAACATGCAAACAGGACATGACAGACCTAACAGACAGGTTTCAAAATTTATTTTTTGAACAATGCTTAGAATGATAATTTTAGATTCAGGACATAAAAGATACACACACACAAAAAAAGTCACAAACCAGAACATCTGTAGAAGCAATGATGCTCAGCTGCAAGTATTCCGATGCTCTCTGCTGGAGTTCTGCATCTGCACTGCGCAAGTTACTATGCTGTTTGAACACTTCCTGGATCTGAGTTTTGATTTCAGGGAACAGATTCACAAACTTTATATATGTTGAAAGCAGAAGAGCTCTTGTCATGGGTGAGCACAAGTGGTACTGTAAAAGAATGCACATATATCAACACGTTATAATCACTGTTTTAAAAATATTAATTTTTATTCATGACCTACATTAAAAATTTGGGACGTTACACAAAATCATACGCCCCAAAACTGTTGAAATAATTTTTTCTAAGTTTACATGCACATTAAATGAGTAGCAATTAATAACTGCTTTGAATTGAAACTTGCCTTGGAATGTAGAAGTTGGAATTGAACTAGAGGTGATGATCGTTGATCTCCCGCAATCAAATTACCAAACTCTCCAAGAATGTAGCCACCAACTTTGACCATGTTTTCATGGCAAGCTGGTGCTTGGAGAGCCTGCAACATAATAAAGAAGCAAATCATTCTTTCCATGGTGTATACAACAACGGACAAAAATGCCATTTGGATTAACTTTAACTAAATTTCTAAATGCTAAAAATCACAATACAGGTTAGGTGATCACATAGTTAAAACTGCATTCTCCATCTCTCAACATTTAATTTGGACAGTAAAAATTCTAGCGATGAAGTCCAGACACTCTGGATTTTTATATATATAATTTTCCTACAGGAAAGAATTCTTTCCATTATTGTCAAACATTATCCAGAATGTCTTTTTGAAAACACACAATGGAAGAAATAAACAATAATATTACTCCAAGAAAACTCTGGTACACCATTTATAAATTTAAAGTAAGGTGGAAAAGGAAGAGCAAAAGCATTTATCTTTAAAAAAAATACATAGAAAGAGAAGAACCTACAGCCTGATAGTAAAATGATACTTTATACTTATTGTGAATCTTCTCGATTAGATACAAACAGCTGATTATTTCATATTTCATATATTTTCTCAGTAATAACTGTTACACTGTTGCAAATGCATCAAGAGCTTTCTGGTGTATCAGTTCAGTAAGGTGAAACAATCAGTTTTTCAGGTGGGAACATCAATAAAACAAATTCTGCTACCCCTAATGATACAATGGATGACAGTGGGAAAGATATTAACTAAGGGGCCCAAAATTTAAAGTACACTCCTAACCAACCAAGCAACAGCAGGTATATAAGCTTTGACATGTAAATGATAAAATATGCACCCAGATCTAGTACAAAATTCACTTCAGGATCCCTTAAATAAGCCTGTATTATTTAAATGGATAATAAGCTTCAATGGTAGGTACCACATGGAATTCCTATGCCATTCTGTTAAGCTGAAAACAAAACCATACCTCGAACACAGTTTTTGCAGCATAACCCTGCACGTCATCTCTATTGATGACAATCTGGATAACTCTGTACCACACCTCTTCTGATACATAGTCACCAGCTATCCGAATTAAATTCAAGATAACATCCACGTACCACGTGTAGTCTGTAGCATATTTCTCTGCAAGAATGGCAACTTTCAGGACCTAGAAGACAGAAATAAAAGGATACACATGTAACTAGCTCACAGACAATCTAGGTCAGTGATCCCCAACCTTTTTGTGCCTACAGGCACATCTAAGAGTTTATGAGATCGTGGCGGGCACCAATCAATTAACAAAGCCAAATTTTCTTTTCTCTGGACAAATAAGAAATGGACACCAAATAATACAAACAAAACAACACGACGTTTAATGATACAATAAACTATGCTATCAAACACACATAGTTTTATAAGTACAATTATTATTACTCAAGTGTGAAGTTAGTGTGATGCTTGGCGCTGCATTTCATTGACCAGTTTTTCAAATTTGGGAATGTAGGATGATGTTGCTGCTCGCAAGCAATCGTCAAGATGGGCATTATTAAGTAGAGATCTGTGCTTTGATTTTATAATGTTCATGGTTGAACGGCCTTAATTATTCAGTATAACCTCTTTCCGTAACAACGCGGGCACCAAAAAAAGCCTTGGCAGGTGCCATGGCACCCGCGGGCACCGTGTTGGGGACCACTGGTGTACAGTAACAGAACTATATCATGTGGTCATTCTAACAACGTAAAGCACATCATGTGAATCAAAATCAGTTGAAAAATTAATATCTGTTTCTTACCATTTCTTCTCTGATTGAATAGTCTGCAGTTTCTAGATAATTCAACATCTCTTGCACAATTTCTTCAGCATTGCTCTTGTCACACATAGCATACAGCAAGTCCACCGCTTGCTGCCGTACTGACACATCCTTCTCCATCTGTCAATGATAAGCACATTTTCAATGCTTAGTACATGTTTTAAACAAAATATATAGCCAAACTAATAATATGAAAATTCAAATTCAAGAAACTCCTTCAATAAAAACACTTTCCTTGAAAAATCAAACTGTTAAAACATATAATAAACATCTCCTCCTAGTTTGCATTTTACCTTCATAGAGAGAATGACAACTTCCTGGTGCTTTTTGACAGCATCATGTGAAAACTCTGAGGTAGCTAGGTGGCACATCGATTCCAGTGCCAGGTACCTCAAATTTGTCTCACGATTTGACAGAAATTGGCCCAACTGGTTACATGCACGAACAAGAAGATTTGGTTCTGTGTCATTGTGGATGATAAGACTGATGGCCTCAAATAACACAGCATTTTTTGCATTTGAATGCTGAACTTTTTTTGATTTTGGAGGCTCTTGTGCCTTGTTCAGGATAGTTTCCAAACACTCATTCAATCTGCCACGTACACCTGGATCCTCTGAAAATGAACACAAATCCCTATTTAATGCCTGTGTACAATTTTTATTTTCAAATGTTCAATGTGGGTAATTATAATGTCCCTGTTAATTACATGTATCATGAAGTAATTTCTTATATTAAAATAAATGTTTGCAAGCATTAGTAAAAAATACATTCATAGATTATAAGTTGCAGTGTATAATGTGAGCTGAACAGAATGTTGGTTCATGAATCGTAAAAGATTGAGAACCTATCTTAAACAGGATTTCATTGTACAATGACAAAGCTATTCCTCAAACTGAATGAATTTTTGAATGACTGCAACATAAATGTATAGTAGATTTCAAGCTTTCATAACAGGTCAATGTTTTCACATCAGAAATGAATGCTCAAAAAAATTCAAGTTACAAGTACCAGACCTCGTATCCAGAAGCCTGAGATACGAGCCAGATTTCTGAATTTCCCAGATTTATGGTCTTAGGCCTATTATGTACTTAAAATATAAGATAAAGAATGAAAGCCAATGCAAAATGCTACCCTTTAGCCACTTCCATTAGCCAGTGGACTTACTATCCTTTTAAACATGTCTTTAATTTAAAAAGACAAGTGGACTTACTATCCTTTTAAACATGTTTTTAATTTTAAAAGACGAGGTAAATAACCACATTAATCATATATAAACAAGTTTACAGACAAAAGGGTATGCTAGGACTAGTGACAGTCATTCAAAGAAAGTGGCCAACTGACTATACTATACTACAGTCAGTTACAGTCAGCAGAGTAAAATCTGATCTAATACCTGGAGGCGTGTAATTTTGCAAGAGCCGTAACAGTTTGACAGAGAGCCAAGGGGCAGGCACAAAGTAGTAGGTGTAATCCTGCAGATCCGTGTAGCTTGCTGTTACAATCTGAAAATATAAATGTGTTAACTCTTTCTCTAAATATTTCGGACAAAAAGTGTATCGCAATCAGCTCTAATTTCATCGACGTGGCTTTTTTAAAATGCTACATTTTGAAAACGAGTTCCTTTCAGAAATAACAACAGTAGTTTCTTACCCTACTGAGCCTGGAAACTGCAAGACTAATGCATCCCTTGTATTCCTCAGGGCTTTTTTTAACAAGTGCATCAATAAGACTGGTTGCAGCTGTCACTACACCCATGTGTTGGTCATTAAGGAGATGTATGATCCGTGACGTCCACTCGCCACTTGGAATGATGTCTTGTGAGGTACGGAACAACCTCAACAAACAGAGGGCAGCCGACTGTTTAACCACATCCATAGTGTCCCTGTTTAACGAATTAAATAAAACAACAAATATAAATCACAAAATAGTCTCAGCCAATAAAGTTATCGGAAAAGTGGGTTTCATATGGGATGAAAGAAACATGTTTCTAAAAAGTTAGAAGGCCAGATTTATGGAATACTTTGTGAGAAAATACTTTCATGATAGGATTATCTCAGTAGTATTTGAGAATTCCACGGCCGTGAGTACAAAGACAGCTGTCTTCTGGGTTGTAGCGCTGAGTAGTCTGGTAGATGTTTACCAAGGTTTCAGGATGAGTAACTCATAACCCTGGTGATGGAGGTAGTAAGGACCTCTGAAGTTTTGATAACTTCTACCACATTACACGGCACTACAATCCAGAAGACAGCCACCAAGGTTATGTCAGTTTCAACCCTGAGATTAATATTATGAGGTAACAACATATTAATTTATTCAGCAACTTTTTTCTGTCCAGAAGAAAGAAGCAAATGATACCATTTATTTTGCAACCCTTACCAAGTACTATCACATTTTATCTTATATTGCAACCAAGACAAATGGTTATGAGCTGAGAGAGAAAACTAGGAACCCTGCCATTCTATTTATTAACCTGGCAATGACATCTGCGCTCTCACGCAGGTAACCGCTTGCCTTCATTGGAACATAACTAGTCAGCAATTAGGCAGGAAGTGGAAGATGATGATGATGTTCTACAAGACAGTGATGCCGCATGACTAAAAATATCTCGTCTATATTCATATCATAATGCAACCTTTTAAAAATTTAATACAATATATTACATGAAATGAATCCATTACTGTGAAGTATAAATACAGTAAACCTAGTAAAAACTGTATTTCAATTTTATTAATAAAAATTAATTTTCAGTTCTTTCTAGTTTACACTAAAGAAGTCTCATGACATTCCCCTACACTGTAACAAAGAAAAACTGGACATAAATAAACCTGAAGCAATACTCAACACTAGGAAACAAGTGTTAATGACTCACAGACTCCATTAACACGGCAATTAACACAGTATTTACACTCACCCAGATACCAACAGTTTTGGAACTTCAAATCCAAAGGCTTCAGCCATTTCCTTGCTTCCTATATTGGCTATACACTGCAATGCCAGACTAACATGGACTGGATTTCTGAAACATAAATATATCCTGACTTTTTTACAACTATTTTAATTAACATTAATTTAAAGACATATAACTACTAATTCAAAACAGAACTCAAAGAAGTATCTCTCAGGAAATAAGTGTCTTAAGTAAAAGAAGACACCATTTCCCTTAGTACTGTTTATATATGGAACTGATTATTACAATATTTCCCCATATAATCAAATTAATTCTTCCTGAGAAGCTGGGAGTCATCAGCCAGTCAAGAAATTCTCCCACCTTTTAAGAATCTCTAAGTTCATTATTGGGTCAGCAACAGCCTCTCACTGTCCCGCGCCATAGCCGCGCGGTCTGAGGCATCATGCTTCGGACCGGCGATATGGAATGCGCGCTGGTTCGGGTCTCGGGGGAGAAGAAATTTTCTCATGAGCTTTCGACCAGTGTATGGGACCAGTGCATCGTAAGGAAATTGGGGAGCTACAATGAGTAGCGTAATCCGGTCAGGAAAGCTAGCAGTGGCTGGGGGTTCATCGTGCTGACCACACGTCACCCTATATCTGGTTGGATGATCGT